GATCTAGTTGCAGAGCGGAAATTCGTTCGAAGAATTATGAAATATTTCACTGTTGGATTTCTTTTGTCAGGATGAGAGTAACGATCGAGGGACTGGCAAAGTTTCGAAGGTGCTGCGAACCAGGCGACGAGCGTCGAACTAGTTTAAAAACTGAGAATTTCCTGTGCCACGGTATTGTCGGCCACTGATGAACTTCGACGACCTTTGTTATCGATGCCGCGCATATTTATTCGACCGAACGTATACATAATCAAAGAGAAACATTCAGAGACAGCCGAACTTACGTTTGTGGACGACTATCTCTGTGGATATTTGAAGTAGAATTTTATTAACTCGGATTTTATCAATTGGTTCTAGCTGTGTATCAGTGATGCACTTGTATAGAGCGATGGACGTGTATTTTGCTACGAAAGTGCTGAGATCTATGGACGAGATCTCTACGACATTGACCCAATTGCAGCACTCGGAGCAGCTAAATTCGTTCATTTAATTAATTGCTCGGCGAAAGGGAGAGTTGCGAATGTACCTTCCTGTTTGGAGAATGCTTCGAAATAAACAGACAAAAGAATAAATTAAGCCTTCCACTGAATAACCGATGATCGCCTTGAATCTAAATCTCGCTTCATGCATATTTTATCGTTATTACTCGTAACTTCTATGAATGAATCATTCATGAACTTTCTATCAATTCCATTCTCCTAATGTGAATTTAGTAATCTTACAGGACACGCATTTATATATTTCTCTAATCTCGGTTTTAATCGTCGGACATTTAATTTTCATTTGACTTCCAATCATGATTGATCTCTCATAAAAGACGCTATTATACTTTTCTGTGACTTCGTTTCAACGAATTGCATCTCGTGTACATCTCATCGAGGATTGACTCGCAACTAACAATTCGATGTCGGCCGAGCTTTCAGCTTAGCTCGAATCTAATTCCCGGTACAGTTTTACGGAGAATTCGAATACACACAGTCCACTTATTTTTTTTTTTTTTCTGGATTTTCCGTTGCGTAACCACCACTTGTACGCCGTTCGTTCCGCTCGTCGTGCATCGGGCAAATTTCTGAGGTTACTCTTTTTTTAGCGCGTTCCATTCGATCGACCTCTCGAAGAAGAAGATCGCCGAGAACGCGACGACGTCTCGACCGAAATAGTTGTTTCTCTATCGACTGTTCGAAAGCTCGTTCGAAGTCAGTCTCCTCCTCGAAAGTAGCAGAGACGATTTCAAACGAAAAGTTTCTTCGAAAGTCGATCAAATGTATATACCGAGACGAAGTAGAGACGAATTTACGCGAGAGAACGCGTAAGATGGGAGATCAGATTGGATCAGCGGGTCAATGGGAAACGTGGAAACTGGGCCATAGCCTTTAGCTTCGTCGCGTATTAGTGGTTGCCAAGAGCAATTGACTCTGACAATGAGATTCCGTTTATTTGTACAAGTTTAGGCGCGATTCGCCCGTAACATTGGCCCTATTGGCTCGATCGAGTCTTCGGGAAGAGTAGTTGAATATTTGTCTCGCTGTTGTCGACGACCAAATCGGGCATAAAATTGCCTATCAAATGAGCGAATGAACGGCTGAAAACTGTTTCTTACTTTCCTCGAATCCAGGCCAGTCGACAGAAATCAATAGAAAAACTAATTTGTCACAAAATTAGCCATTTCCTCGTTGTTGTTCGAGCTGCCGTTCAAGATGAAACGGAACAAAGTCTCGCGGTCTCGCATTTCTTTCGGCCGATTTCTCCACCCCGCGCGCCACCTCGGGCAATTTCGAACGTCGCTGGCCTGGGTCGCATACGCATTGGTCGCCCGGTTAACAGCGGGGCCAATGGAAAACGCGAAAACAAGACAATGAATCTGCACAAAGGGAAACTATGCCGTATCCTGTTTGAGGCGACCCACGGGACAAGTGCAACCACAATGCGTATTCGTACGGCTGGCGCAATTGCGCCCAATGAAAATTGATATACCACGGCAATTAGCTCATTGACCGAGGAGGCACGCGTAGATGCCGACATCCACGTTCCCGTCCTTCGTGTCGCTCTCGCTGCTCCGATGCATCTCGACGATGCGATTATGCAAGTTCGTCTAAATTCGACTGCCCACGCATCGGCCGGATTTATTTTGCCACCGACAAGTTCATTTAGTTCACCGCTGGCGGCAAGCAACTTTTTGCCAGTCGCCAGTCGAATATTTCGAGTAACATTTTGCCAGTCGACTGGATGAATTTTTTGAAGAGCACAGACAAAAGGGAGACAAGTTCGAGAAAATGTTGCCGATCTGCCAGTCTTGTCGAAGGCACAGCTTTTCGAAGAAGACGATTGCCCAATCCAGTTTCCTCGGTTTGATTTATTTTTACGACCGCGCCGATTTCCGATGAGCAAGCTTTTGCGTCTTAATCGCCAACAAATGGATAAGACCGAGGCTCGACCAGTCAATTGCTACACTTCAACGCGATCGGTCTTCGACAAATCTCACGAATTTCTTACCTTTAACACTAAACGTATTTTACATATACCGGCATTTTACATATACCTATCTTACCATAAGGGGTCAAATGCACCCTCGCGGTACATAAGGTATGTAAAAAACAAGCTAAGAGAAGAACAGAACACGAGAAATTGAATAATCAGATAATATAAGAATTTACAAGAAGTCAGATTAGCGAAAGGAATAACAACGAACGTACAATTTTAAAGTAAAGTATTTTGAAAACACCGCTTAGTACGTTTAGTGTTAATCTCTTTATTGCTCCTTGTTACCTGACAAATTTCTACCCACTGATCAGCCGACAAATTTCAGTATAATCTCAGTCGAAATATTTCGTCGATCGTCTTTCAAATTTCCAAACGATAAAGAATGCTGTCCTGAAAAATTTCACCTCGGAACATTTTCTCCACACACACACTGGCACGATACAAAGTCCACTCTACGCGTCTTCCTACGTGATTCTTCACACCGATTCTTTTTCCCTAGCTGCGAATTTTTGCAATCACTTTGCCAGTTACACTTTTTGCACGTAACGCGGGCAGGATAATCGGTAGGTAGAGGCCGTCAGCTAGTACGAAACCTGACGAAGGCAAGCAGCGTACTGCCAGGAATAGATGGACCGACAGATCGGAGTCGTCGTCGTCGTCGTCGTCGTCGTCGACGACGACGATTCAACTAGCGTCACACGCTGGCTACGCTACAAAACCAGAGTCGCGTTTCAAATTGAGCTTAACTGCTCATTGAGCTTAGAGGATAACACCCTACCAGCCTATCGGTGACATAATTGAGGCATTCACGTCTCGCTTGCTCTTTCCTTTCTTTTTTTTTTCTTCTTCTTTTTCCACTCCGGATCGGACCGTTAAGACGATTTACAGTGTTTCAGGTAAGATTGTGGAATTTGAAGACCATTTCGTCGCTTAAGTCTAAAGTAACTGTTATGCACGCCGGGACAAAAAGAGCGTGGCGCACTCAGTATATTTTCTTATATCGTGTATATCGGTAACGCGTAGATTGTCATATCAGTATTCTTGAGCGTGGATGTACGTGTATGTACGTTGAATGTCATTATCGAGACGCAATTTCTCGAGCGAGATACAAACGAAAACTGTAAATACTGTCGGCAGTCGCATGTTAGAACAACTCGAATGTTTATGCTCGTCAGAAGCTATCGAAAACGTAACACATTCGTGTGTGACAATGCAGTCAGTCAAGTGCGCATCGACATTTGTAAAAAAATGTTGCAAGAAAAAGTGAAATCCATGCGAAGCACAAGGCGATATTGAAATCGAGACAAAGAACGTTATTCGTTATGTGACGAAAATGGCCAAAACAATTAACAAAAGTCGTAAAGTGACAATTTACTGAATGATCCCGATAATTATGGAAGAAGAAAAGATTGTGGATGACCTCAGTGTCTAACAGCTCGGGATAAAACGTGTGCGATACGTATAAATTCAAGCTTCACTGCGAGACAAATTGCAGGAATAGCTGAAACTACGACAAATTAGGAGTTGGGAGTGTTCGATGTCTTTTAAAAAATTGTCAACATCTGAAACGTGAGACGAAAATTGCAAGAAAAACCTTGGTTAAAGCAAGAGAGAACAACCTTTTTTGCAGAGAAACGTGTTTATATGAATAAAAAATGGCGAAAAGTTGCATTCACCGATGAAAAGAAGTTCAATTAACGATTCGAGGTATTGGTTGCCAAGGTAAGATGGAAATTCATTATTAAGATAATTTATAATTAAATAACAACAGTGATAACGCATCGCGAAAGTAGTAAAACAATACTTTGCGAACCAAAGGATTGTTTTAAAATGGCCAACCAAGTGTCCGGAACTTGAATATTATAGAAAATTGTTGGGGGAAATTTGAAAGGCAAATGTTGAATTTAAAAAAGTGTATCTTGGAGAGTCAAGAACTAGGCCAAAATATTAGAAAAACTATGTAAATCTTTGCCTCAGAGGACGTCTGTCGTTGTTAAATGCAAAGTATTAAACAATTTTCTATCCATTGTGCTATCACTTTGACCTCAAAATATTACCACGTTTCATGCTTTCAATAACACAAAATATATTGCAGAAAGTTTAATTAAAGATTTTGCGTCATTTATTCAACGAGAAAGAACTGAATAATTTTTAGAGCGCGCTATCCTTTTCGTCGTTATATGTAATCCAATGTACGTTATATCATACTTACGTATTTCTCATCGAGTCGGAGGGAGACTGGCCAATCGTATTTCCCCAATCGCATTATTCTCAACGCGGGATTGAGATATAACGGAGGGTGGGCTATGACTTTAGGCAACCAAACAGTTAGCACATTTTCTTCACGACGAGAATGCTGATGGTGCCAGAACGCGTACCTTAGCCGAACATTCGATTCGAACTGAGACGTTTGTCAGATCAATATCGTCTACCACGCCACGATACCGCCGTGAATATATCCAATCAAATATCGCAATAAATAAAGAATGAAACGAATTGCAGTCTAGTTATAGAATATTTGATTACAGTACTCCAAGCATGGTTGCGAACAACATTCAAGAGAGAATTCAATTTTAATACTGATTCCGTGGAATGCATTTCGAGAACTTCTTTCGAGATCTCTTATCCACTTGAGTTAAATCGAATGTTGAATTCAACATTAATACCATCGAGTTGCTGTGTATCTAAGCCTTGTATTTAGCCATTATTTCAGGACACTTTCCCACGTTTTTTCTCCATCTGTTTCCCATAACTTCCCAACAGAGCGTTATGTAAGCCAAGCATCCGTGTAAATAACGACAGACAGACCATCCCTTATCCATCACACTGACGTAGACGATTCTATCGAAATATTTTAAGCGATTCGATGAGGCGTCGAACGATCCATTCTGCCAGGTTGATATCTCGAGTTATCCGGTGACCCTTGAAACTTCATCGGCCCAAGAAAAGAAACACTCGAACGGTCCATTTGCCTGGCAGGTGTTTAACATCTATCATTTCGATTCGCAAGTAGAAAGATAACACTGTGCTGCTGTTTCTTCTCTGTGCGTGAATGTTTTCAGAGCTGGCGATTTCGAAGGCTCAATAAAATTTCTCGAACGATTTAGAAGAAACATTCGGCACAGAGAACAAGGTTTCTTTGGTTCTTCCATATCTTGACGTAATTCTTTCGACGCGTTGGAATTTTTTCTTTTTTTTTTTTTTTTTTGATGAAAATTTGAAACGAAATTCTCGTCCAATCGAGGTGTCAGAAATTTGCAAACGAAGAGAAATGAATTTTTGCTCGAATTGTCGATTCGACAGAAATGCGTCGTGAAAATGTATATTAAAATTTTCAAATGTTCAATTCTTCATCCAAACGATAACAAAATCTACATTTCTTTAGAATTTCAACAGAGATGTATTAACCATAAGTAATGTCGTTTTTCTTTTTTCTTTTTTCTTTTTTTTTTCAAATTTAATGAAAATTGCCATCCTATATTCTAGTTAAATTTATTGGCTTATTGTTTAAATTATATTATACATTAAAACTGGGTCAACTCCTAAATAAAATAAAATTTTGTACAATATCAGGAAACATTACTTATGGAGTACACCTACACACACACACACACACATATATACCGATGATCTTGATATTCACAATTTAAGGCAAATTGTTGACAGATAATATCCAGATCAAATATATATCGATGAAAGAATGATTTATGACTCACGTTCCATCCCATAGACTCTGCTAGAAAACTCGTGGCATGCTCGTTTTCGTCCCTGTCGCTGTCGGTCTCCAAAAGTGCCTCGACAGGCTCCTCGATGGTACCTTCCTCGCTCAAATCGTCTTCTGCTTCTTCCTTTCCTTCCTCTGTTTTCTGGTTCTCATCTCCCTTCTTCGGAAGCGGTCCTTCCTGCTGTTCCTGCGCTCGAACCTTCTCGGCCAATAACGTTCCAAGGTTCTCGAAGAAACCGCCATCGGTCTCCTGTATTCTGTAAATGAAAATTGGAGAAAGAAAAAAAAAGAAAAAAAAAAAAACAGAAGGAAATGAAGGAATTTTAGAAGATCGTGTCGACGTCAATCGAAGGTCATCAAAATATTGCGTAGTGATAAAATTAATTAAAGAGCTGCAATTAAGAAAATATCAAGAGCGAGATACAAGAAGCGAGTGATAAACGATGACGGATTCAATGTCATTGCGATGCCGTGCAGCTTCTGTTTTCTTCAACTCGCGTCGATATCGCTAAGTGCGCTAAAAAGCAGGCTGAAATCGAGACCACCGGCTGAATAATTGGCCAACATTGCGTGTTAACGTCTTGCAACTACGTTTCGACTAGATCGTTGGAAAAATTTACAGGCAGAAATTAAGAAACAGAATGTGTCGCTAAACCAACGAGCCAACACGATTCACCTTTTATGAATGAAGTTGAACGCAGCGAATTTCCAATAGATTCTGCCTACGGTGACTGGTTTTGTCTCTGGCTTTTGCGACATTCGAGCCGCGGCGATCGCGTAGTAAGGATGTGACTCGTCCAGCCTTCCGAAATGCGCCATTTTTTCACTCCCTTTCTTTCTGAAGAGAGCAGAAATTTCTCTTTTTCACACGTGACAACCCGCGAAGTGACAACGAAAACTGATGGCAATTCACGACGAACCTTGATTGGACTGACTGAACTTTTATGCGCAATTTCGACTTGAAACGAACAAACTGACTTGACACACTTATTGTTGATTTGACAATAATTTATCCAGCTGTTTGTCGTTTCAGTGTCGTTGAGAAACTATCGATGCATTGTAGAATTTTATTTTATTTTTCAATTTTCAATCTAAACAATACCGATCTTCTCCTTCGCAGAAGAATAAAAATGAACATTTTTTTAACAATTTTAATAAACGATCGTGACGCACGTAATAATTTGCACGATTTGCGCGATAATGTAAACGTCAGTTCGCTCCAGTATTGCGGCTGTCGTTAAACAGAACGATCTACTTACAGGTGAATAGGACGTCGATGTAGCACGTGTTAGTCGAGACATGTCTGACAACGAACTGCCGCAGGACTTCGAGAGAACTGGAGAAGAAGGAAGTAGGTGGTAGCAGGATGTAACGTCAATGCTAATACCAGATCAAACTTTCCCACAATTTAAGTGCGTCAAGTATCTAGATCTTAATCGTATTATTATTCACAAATATTTTGCAGATTAATGGCAATTACGCTAGCGATTCGAGCGTATACAAAATACATCTTCCACAGATCTATTAAAAAGTTTTTAATATTTCCCTGGATATTTACCAAAGGATCGTTAAAATTATTGCTCATCGAAATTTTATTTATTTAAACTGTACTGTGTAAAAAAATTGGATACTTTTACACCATTGACGTATACCGTTTAGGAAAGTAATTTGACTGAATGAGTAAATCATTCGTCGGGAAAACGAGGCAGTACTAATTTCAATCACTGTATTTGGGAATTATTATTTTGTTACGATGAAACATTTCTAACAATGAAAACCCTTGGCACGTTATAACAATACATGGAACAACATATACAACATGTACAAAATATTTGGGAAATCATGAGCTCTTCTTCAGCGTTAATAGTAATTATTAATTTACAGAGAATTAACAATTCACTGAAATTCTCTGTCCATGGATGAGTTTATTTCTGAATTAATAGGAAACATACTGAATGCATGTACAAAAGTCGCTGGATTTTCTGAGGTTTTATTTTTAATTTCAAGGTGCTCTTTCGTTCCGAGAAAAATGCGTTGCGTTCCAAGACAAATTTATTTATTTTATCTACTACTATTTTCAGCTTTCGTGTGGCAAGAAAATCACATGCCCTTACGTAATTTCATTTTCGATTTTTTTTAGCCTATACACACAACACACCTTGCTCTTTTGCACGAGTTTGTTTTATTTCTATCCCGACCAAAGAGATGTGATTCATCGATTCGCAGTCTTCTCGTCTCGGCTCTTCGAACACGTTTCTACTTTTTTTTCTACTTTTTTCACTTTGCAGTTGCTTGATCGGTACGAGTATATCGGATAGCAACTGATGATTTATAACTCGTTTCTTAAATAAATATGCATATCGACGAGATTATCGGCACAGCAGATTGCAGTGTTTTGCTTTTATCAAACAGGATATGGAAATAAAATCATATAAATCATAGTCGAATTCGATACACTTTGATTGCAACATAGGAAAATTTATCAACGATAATACGAAAAAAATTTATCGCAAGGTATATGTCATGTAACAATTCAATTTGACATGCTACTCTAAGAACGACTACGAGAAATTCTTCAGAACTACTTCGAGCTAATTACAATTGCTCACACACTGAACAAGCGAATGACCCGTTACTCGATTTAATTTGGCACAGTTGAAATCAGCAAGAACGATACTAGTTCCGATAATAGAAAGTAGAATTTCATTCCTGCTTCTATATTTAAAGAAATATATTCAGAGGATAGATTTACGAGACGTGCATATTAAAATTTCACGAGATCTTAGCCGAGATATATAAAACGCTATTGCCTTACGAGCTGGAACAAGGTCTTCAGCGATTTCAGTCACGAACGACCTTCAGTGGTCTCTACTGGTTTCGAGCTGACTGAGTCCGCCTCACGTGAATCTTCGTGCTCGACGATTTGCATTATCTGATTTCACGTGCGCGAAACGCACGCACACCATGTAATTTACCAAGATAATTTACCAATTTTCTCACTGAAAGACAAAGCAGCAATACAAAGTTAATTTGCAACAATCTGCGAATTATCTATCCTTCGATAGTTTCCTTCAGTGTCAAACCTGTTTTTACCTCGAGGGGCAATCACCGCGCTGATGATCTAATGTGCAGCATTGCTTTGTCTTTTTTCATTGGTCAGGCAACCGACCAGGGAAACAAGGAATTCCCGCTGTAATCGCGATGACGTCTTCAACGCAGCGTTCATTGATACAGCGATCCATGGGAAAATATGTATCGCGATTTCTGCCGAGTAGACACGTAATGATACACCGACAGTTCTATTTAATATTCTAAGGTGTGTGATTGGAGAATCGCACGATATTACGTTTTCTTTCGTCGATTCAACGAGAAACGATCAGCCAGATGGGAAGCTATTAATTTACAATATTTATGTAATCGTTTAGACAATCGACAAAAAAAAAGATCTTTGCAACTTGGAGTATTTGTTATAATTTTTGGTGATTCCTGAAAGAGATTGTAACAGCCATTTCATTCGCCACTGGAAACGCTGTGACATCACGGAAGAATTAATTAGCATTCTTTTTCTATTTAAGAAGGTCGCCTGGTATGCAACAGTCTCGTTAGTTCGTACTTTTCACAATGTTTGCACGCGCACGACGAAACTGTTTTTTTTTTTTTCTTTTTACCAACTCTTCCTGCTCGC